ATATGTATTTATATTACGATAAAAATGTTAATCATAAATCGAGTCACTGGTGAAAGTTCGCTGGCACACCTGCAGCCTATCACATTTTGGATTTTTTCTTCTTTTTCAGACATAAAAAGCGGTGAACGTGCGACGGGGGGTTAATTTCCTATACTGGACGTATCATCTGCTGGCAAAAATGTCGGAATTTTCCCTCCAAGTGTTTCCACCCCGTCGTCGCGTCGTTCTTTCTCGCTATTCTTCTCGCTTCGCCGCGCGAGCGAGGACGCATCGTTCATCCTGATCGTCGTGATTCCCTCCCGAGGGGGTTTACGTATGCCGGACGCAGTTTGGCGCCGATTCATCAAAAAGACCACCCACCCGTTTTTCGCCATTTAAGAAAAGTGCCGCCAGTCTCTCTCTTATCCTGGTAAAAAGGAGGGCGGTGGCAGCATCGTTAGAGGCAGATTCGCCCTTACCGAGGACTAGGATCACGAAACGATCGGGACGCGGAGGAAGAGGGGGAACACACTGCTTTACCCTTCCCCTGTGATAGAGGTGTGCTCGAGAGGGCATCCGGAGATTGGAGTTTGCTAGCGAGCCAACTATCGTTTCCCCGCGTCTCGTCCCCGCCGTATCTGCGACGACGACGACAACGACGACGAGGACGACGTTGCGGCCGAATTGTCCGCAGAAAATTGTCTGTCGGATGTTAGACGCCCCGCAGCGGAAGTTTCTTGGTAACCGTTACGAAGAAACGTAACATACTCGTGACAATGATGAGTAGTGGACACGTCCAATACGAAGCGCGATTGTGTCTGGAAATACTTTCTTCATCGTTACCATTCTCACGATGTTGGACATTTACCTAACGTCAGCAGTATAAGGTAGAAAAAAAATCTGATATCTAAATAAGAATAATGTAATATATGCAAGTTTTTTTTATAATATAAAATAAATAATAATTAAAATTAGAATAAAAAATTTGAGAATAATATAAAAATAGGAGAAATAAATTAATTCTATTATTGAATGTGCAAATACATTTATAGATATATAAATATCGAATTATTTATTTAGGTTTAAAATAGGCGAATGTAACGATGATTATTGTTAATGATCATTTATAGCACGATGATCAAATGTGAAAAAGTTGTCGTGATAGCTATAGATGTCCGCGATAAGCTCGTCTCTTCAGAAAGTATATCGATTCTCATCTTTCGCTGTTGATGCGAGGATGTCCGAGAGGTACAATCGTCCAGGAGTAGTCAACGAAACTTCTTTTCCGCCCGGTTATTCCCCATCTCTTCCGTACATATTGTCAGTTTCACTGTCAGTGCTTGCTGCTTGTAGACTCTGTAATTTCCGGCTGCCACTCGGCCTGTTCTTATTTCCCGTCACGTTCGCCACCCGCGTCGGAGTCCTCTCCGCTTTTCTCGCCACGGCGACGCGCGGTGGTGTCCGTTCGCTTCGTTCTTCAGGTATAATGGAGCCAAGAAACAGATAATTACAAACCTCTGACCATTTCGAGCGTCCAGCCAAGCATCAACTTTTATTTCGGTCTCTGACCCCGTCCGTCGTATCCGACTCTTCCAAGATATAAAGTGCGGATTCGTATTCATTCGCCGGCTTAGCGTTAATATTTCTTCGTTACCGCGCTCTCGTGTGCTCGCTCGCAGTCAGATGAAAAGCCAAATAAAATGAAATTTGCGGGAGTGAGAACACTCCGCGATCTCCTCTTTCGACAAATCCGGCCGATTAATCGTAATTTATTCGTCGAAGCCTTCTTCGAAATTAAATTTGCAACTTATGTTAGCAAAGAAATCTAAAAATAGAAATATTTGAACGATATATATACAGGGTATCCCAACCGTACCACATGCTAGTAACAGATTCTTGAGATTGGAAATCATTTGGAAATGATTTTTCCAAAATGTTGATTCAAAAAGGAGGACTTTTTACAAACTAAACTTTATAGAAAGTTAAAATTACATTCTTTAGGTAATTTCATTGATAGAATTTAAAATAGAGAGGGAATGATAGAATTTAAAATAGAGAGGGAATTGTAATTTAAGGTTTAGTTACAAAGATACATGATGGAAAAAATTGGAAACTTACAAAAAATAAGGACCTCTCTCGACATTTTTGCTGAGGAAAAATCATCTCCAAATAATCTCAAGTATCTGTTATTAGCAGGCCTGGAACACCCTATATATTAACATAATTTTTATTTTTGCGATTTTTATAAAAGCTTGAAGTGTGCGGAAAGGAGATGTCATTAAACTTGTACACACATTATAATACAAATAGAAAAAATCTTTCGCACAATTTGTACCGCTGCTTAAAACCATATACGAGTGCAGCTGAAAACTTTCATCGGGTTTAACGGCTATAACGATTTTGAAAATTAAAGTGATTTGCTGCCTCTTTGTGTCTACCGTGCTCCTTACTAGCTTTTTCCTCCTTAGCCGGTACTTTAGGTGTAATAGAGCCGAGAAATAGATAATTATCCTTCTCTCTGACCTATTTCGCGCTCGAACCTTCCGACTTCTCGGCTCCCTCGCTGACTCTTACGATCATCTCCAAGTTCTTTAGCGATGCTAAAAGTACTACTCTGCCATAAAAAGCCTCATATACCTCAAGTATGTCAGAAAGATGAATTATGATATAACATGATTAATTATAATGAATATATCAATTCTTCCGATATTTTCATTAAATGTCATTTATTATATCTTTCTTACTCGCACATCTTAAAACTATCTTTTTGAGAACTTCTACTTTATTTTTTTCCTCTGATATAATTTTTTCTTTTTATTTTTAATAACGTCATATAAATGAAATCTTAGATTTGATTACGCTGTATAAAGTAGATTTAATTAAATTTTGGTCCTAATAGTTATTATGATATAAAATTGATTGTATACTTATATCACAAGAACTTGATAGAAATTGTGCTATTTCTCAATGTTTAAAAGATAAATCGCTACATCGTATTGACGGAGACAATCGAATCGCCAGAAATGATTCCAGGAAAGAACACGAAGAAGATATAACCCCGCGGCGCGAGCCATCCCGCATTATACCACCAACGACGTATTCACCCCTTTCTGTTCCAGAGATATCTACAGGGTGGCACTACCAACATAACTGAGAATCTCCTTCGCAACTCTGATCGACAAAGTTCCTTCTGGCGGTGCCGCGAGCACACGGATGCGAAAGTTAGCACGAAGTCTACCAGCATCCCTTTCACCCTCGCGACAGTTCTCTCCTCTCCCTTTCACCCTCTGTTTCTCGCTCCTACACCTCATGAACACCATTGCATACCGTACACACACACACAGACATACATATATACATACACAATTTGTTCCCTTCCTTTTCGCAGGCGAAAGTTCTCTCTCGCACTCGTGCGGCTCTCGTCATTTTACGATGCCTTAGGAGACGAGGACGCAAGTAAGTTTCACGAAGATAGGCTAACTTTGATAAGATACCGGTTTATCCTGCACAGCCCGATTGATTATCTTTCTCCGCAGGATTTCTACTCGATGGCGGTTACATACGTTCATATTCTTTCACGTGGCTGAACAATGATCTCGCGGAAGTTACTTGAGGAGACTTGAAAAAAGCATCACGTAAAATTGCGATAGATCATCGTGTCGAGTAAGGTGTATGTGACTATGAAAGATTAACATGTAAATAAAATTCTCATAAAAAATTGAGGTCTTTCCCCCAAATGGGAGATTCAAAATCGTCGAAATTGATATAATTTTGGTGAGAACACTTGATGCCATTAAAGAATGGCAAAATGGTCTCCGTGTTAATTTAACAATTTGACATTTTCGTTGCGATGATTTGATTGCAGAATAAATACACGTTTTACAAATAAAAGTTTAATTCATCGTGATTAGATAGGTCATCGCATTTTATCTTTAAAGTTAGATAACACACACACACTCTATTATGTTTTATTTTTATATATACATTTAGAGAGAGATATTCTTGTAAGATGACAAAGTTTAAGAGTTACTTTGATCCCGATAGATTGAAAAAATTATCTCGTATATAAGTAAATACGGCGAGGCCGTATTTTCAGCGAGTTTTCAGATAATTTTTGTTTTAAAACCACGGCACTTCTCGCGTAAATAACGTCTGATCAAAGTTCGAGCGAGATCAAAGTAAGAAACACAATTCGCACTGATAGCAATGATCGCTGGCGGATGGTCCCTTTCGCGTGAGATCTTATTAGAATCAATTTCCCCGCACGCGCAATATTTCTGCGGCGCGCGTTGTGATATCGCCGCATTAATCATACATCTGCGTGCGATTCCCGCGTCGATATTTCCCAAAGCCTGGTACTCTCGGGGTATTTAAACCACCGCTTCTCGCTTACTGTCGATACGGTCCATGCATTTTGTACATGCTAGACCAAGAAAGAAAGATTCTCTTCCTCACATATACTATATGCGAGGAAACAATAAAATAAAATTATTTAGAAATAAAATTAGCGGTAGATAGTCTTACAAAGTACATTAACCCCTATTACATATCGCAATATATGTAAAATAAAAACATTCTCGTTACGTAATATACATGTATTGAATATTAAATAGGAATTATTCTCAAATACTATAAATATATATGATATAAATACTAAAAATAATATGATTTTATATGTATTCGTAGATAAAAATGGATTGGTCGCTTTCAATGTAACTACATTTTGCATACACACACGCGCGCGTATAGTTTTTATTATTATACTATAAATATACAACAGGCATTTTATTACGTACATATATATATCGGGTATTGGACGCAATCGCTTTCGCTGTTATACTACATTTTGTACACACACACAGATTCATCATTTTTATTGTTATACATATTATATTTAATGATACACTAATTATTTGTTAAAGGAAGGAAAACAATAATTATATTGGTAAGTCAAAATATAAGATCAGTGAAAAACCAAAAACTTATCTATGTGATACGATTGAAAAGAGGCTGCTCGGGAAATCCGTGGATTTCTAAAAAGTTGCTAATAAATAATTCAACTGTGCGGAAATATTGTCTCATTTAATTTATGCTTTCTTCGATACCCAGTACATTTAGTAGAATAGATATATATACACAAAAAATATATCCGGAAGATTATCAAAAAGTAAATTTTAAAAATTTTGAAAGCAGAAGGATAATAACCAAGATAAATCTCCGATTAGAAAAATGTAAATTCTGGATTTAATTTTATGAGATAAAGATAAAGCATTTGTAAGTAAATTCAAACTATGCAATTTCTTGAATTATTTCGATATTCCAACCATTGATAGTAATTGCTAGTCTTGTAATCAATGATTTATTTCGATTAAACAGTTAATAAAAACAGATGAGGAATGATAAAAATACGAATTTTTAATTCTTCATTTGTGTGAACTTACTTATATAAAACAATATTTCTATCTTTAATTGGTTGTGATAATAAATAAAATTTTAAAGAATTATTAACGAATGTTATGTTGAGAGGGAATAAGGGTAATATTTAGGTTATAAGATGGTTTAAGAATAAAATTGTTGTGTTTGGAAAAAAAAGAATCTCTTGAGCAGGTTTAATATATGGTGGCAAGAGATGAGACACGATAGGCACGTGACATTTTTTTTTATTAGACGCTCATGGGTACAAGGTTCTGCTTTTTTCAGACCCATTATCTACATAAACTGAGTGCGCGTTGATAATAATTCACTATTGCATTCTCTCGATTGAAAATATAGACTTTCGCGTTTGTACATATATATATTTATATATATATATATATATATACATACATACATATATTTTTTCTTTCTCTTTTCTTTATTTCCGCGAATGAATGTTTCACAGGCACTTCGTCTCTAAACAGTGGCAAAATTTGCAAATGATTGGTTTGGCGTAATGAAAAATGCGAGAGCGACACGTATGAAAGTAAACGTCATCGCAGAATTTATCACCGAGGCTTTTAGGGTCACGAGCAAAATACAGAGATCTCGCACAATCATTTTTTTCTTATTTTTATCGCAATTCGTTTTGCCAGCAAACCTCTTATCCGATATATGCGAGATCTTTTACGATCACATCGACAACACATATTACAATTAATCACAGAAATAGTAGATTCGACGAAAATGATTGCGCCACCTTATATACATTTAACTTAATTATTTCTACAGGCAAGCACCTATTAAGTACTGATACATTCGATCGTTAAGAGTTCGCCGCAATTGCAATAATGAGTTCTTCTTTTCGTCATCGTCACATTTTATATACATATATATATTTTTTTTTCTTTTTTGACGAGTGAGTTATCAGATTGTAGAACTTTTCGATGCCTGAATTCATGTACAGGTTAAGAAGATGCAAGCGAATCATATAAACTCACGAATGTAAAATTGCAAAAAAATTTGTCGATGTTACAAAAAAAAAATTAGGGAAAAACACCCTACAAGAAATAATATTGTAACACTTTGGTTTGATGAAAAAGGAAAAAGCGAGCTCGGAAATATATAGAATACAACCGTCTCTCTCTCTCCCCCTTTTAATCCTTGAAAAGATCTCATAATTCCTCTCGAGAGAATCGAAATTTCGAAAAAACTCATTTCCAAAAAATACTTTACAAAGATAAAAAATAAATATACAAAATATATATGTAGGAACTCTTCGAGAGCAGTATAAATAATATTGTTATAAAATTATATCGATTTCAATCCGTTGCTCAAATCAAGCATAAGCTAATCTTTATTTAGAGATTCAGAATTCTACTCTTAATTAGAGAATAAAGAGGATCGTCACATAAAATTATCATATTGTATATATGATTGAGTTGTGATATATATCTGTGAGCAATTTGCGCCAAAACTGCCGCAAATCAAAATATCTCTTAAAAAATTTTGCGAAGTATCTTAATATTTAGTTTTCTTACTGATAAATCTGATAACTCATTAAAATTTCTGTAAGCTTCGACATCGCATTACTGTATGGCTTAGAGGCTCATAGATCGCCTGATAATCAGTGAATTCGAATTCGATTGCGGCTCATGCTATTTCGAAATTTAGTAAAGAATATTGCTCTTTTGATGAACTTTTGCTCTATGACCGCATATGTCGCAAAATGCTACAATTCATCAGAATATAATTTTCAATACACATGTTTTGACATTTCTTTTTTGGCATAACATTATATATAAATAAAAGTTAAAGGGATAATACATTTAACACTTCTTAGATTTCCAATAAATTTTGCGATAGTTTCAAGAAAATTCTTCAAACATTCCTTGGGACACGATAAAATCGTTGTCCGAAATAATCGATTTCTTCTTTGCGTATTCGAACGCCGTGATATAATATATGCATGTCTCTATTACAATTGCTCTCTCGTGCTTTCAAAAGTTGATAGACAATATTTGAGATACGGTATGTAAAATAGAGTAGAGTAAACTAGTATATAAAGTAAAGCGAAGTACAAATACTCGGTGCATCAATGGACATTGCTCGTTCAATGGGACTTTATCGAAAATTTACCAAAGCCTCGTTTCAGCAACGTCATTTAATTTTCGTTTAACTTATTCTTCACCTCCTTCTGAAATTAAATTTAGAAAGAGATGAGTAATGAGTTAAATTACAATAAAACTTATTTTTCGACCATACAAAAGTTGAAGATATACATATATATATATATATATATATATATCTTCAATCATTTGTGTTTTCACTCCAATTCTTTTTTCATCTGGAATTTGTTTGGAGGGGTCTTTTAAAATCGTAAGAAAATGTTAAAGCGAAAAATCTATTATTTAAAAATCTTTTAAGTATAGATGTATATCTTTTAAGTATTGATCTTCTCTGAAACTCGTGCAAAAACTTCGCCATGTTTTCGAAAGAATGTTTCGAAAGATTAGTAGAGTGCATCGGATTCCGATTCAAGTTCGATCGACGTTGACAAAATCAGCCGTAGAACTTTCACACAAGGATTCCTTAAGTACGACACGCAAGCCCCATTAAAAAATAGACATATTATCTATGTGACATTTCAGAGGTTCTATCAGAGGCTAATAGTTGCTATTTACTCAACACTGTTAAGTCAAATAATCCGCGCCGATACTGATAAGTCCGTGCTACAGTTCGGAATTATTCGCAAGTGGCATGTTGAATGATTTTCTTACGTTCTAATTTTTCCGCAGGCATGTCACCATTAAAATCTATTATCGAATCTTTTCTCCTGCGGCTCGACTCTTAGTTTTCGTAAACTTTCATCCAGCTTCGTAGTCGGATCGCCATTACAAACTTCCGGTTTTCGACCATCTCCATTTATATTATATCGCTCGGCGAACGTCGCCTTACCGTTTGCAAGACCATTTTGTACGCCATTGATGCTCTTATTGCAGATTGCTTGACCGTTTGATTGCTGACCATTTAAATTAGAACTTAATGTACCGCTCGCTTTGCAATCGAGCCCGTTGCTTTGTATTTCTACTAAGCTTTTCGAGAAATTGATACCTTGATTCTCCGGCAATTGCATCATGCCTGCAAGATAAAATGTCGAATGCTGTTCAGATACAGTAGTATCATTATTAGTTTTGGATAATCGTTATTATTTAAAGCAGTTGGAATATATATGAATTTTAAATAATTGGAAAAGTTAAAATTAAATTACTTTTCTAGGTGTAAAATCTTTTCAGCCTGTATGTATGAATCTATGATTATGTCGGATGTAAATCCACAAAAAAATAAGTATGTGTGATGAATGTGTTCGTAAAAAAAATAGAAAGAAAAAGAGAAAAAGAGAGAGAGAGAGAGAGAGAGATCTAATTATATTTAAATAACTGGTACAATACCGTGCATGTTGAGACAATATTTATTAGTGCTGTTCCATTCTGCGCGCAAGCTAAGATTGAACATGCTGTAATCCGGGTTGTTAGTGACTTCTTTCTCGATTGTCAGGAATTGAGGCAGGATGTTCTTTAGGTCATCGCCCGTCAACGCTGTATACGTTTCGAGTAACATCAAGCCTCGACATCTACATAGTGTGTATATACAATTTAAAATAATATATTTTTGTCTCTCTCATTTTCACATAAATGTGAAAATGTGAGATAGATATGCATAAACAAGAGATTACAGTGAATGATCTCAGGAAAAGATAAAAACAAAAAAAAAATTGCTTTTAATCTTTAATAATCTGAATCTTAAACTAATTATATAATGCAACAATGTATAGAGATCTTTTATATTATTTGTGCATGTAAACGTCATTGCTATTAAGACCAGCATAAATAAGCCGATCGTACAAGATATCTTAAACTTACCGAGTCACTTTTTATCTATTTGTTCTTTAATAAATTTAAAATCAATTTTATCATTGAAAATAACAAAAGCGTTTTGTATTGCGTTATTTAATTGTACCGATATTGCGATCTTACCTGGGATGACCCGGTTCTCTATATATATCTAACTGAAAATACTGATTGTTGATCAGAAAGCACCGACGGCGCTTAAAGATGGTGAAGTGCGAATCGTCGCGCTGGGCCAGCATGTTTAGATAGTCTCGATGGGTCAATTGGGTTTTCACCTCAATCACTTGGCCGCACATCTTCGGTCGACGAATCGTGTGAATATATGACCAATGACCTTAAAGAATAAAAAATTTAGATTGTTGCACGAATCTTTTTTCGACGTAGAGTAGCGGTGATCCAATATAACATCATTAATCATTAATTCGCGTACGCAAGAAATAAAATTACGAATTTTCCGATGATAATGAACCGCATAAGTTAATTAATTTTCAAATAATTCGAATAAATAATATCGAATTTCAGATAAATAAATAAAATGATTAAGCATTTATAAGAAAGAAACGAAAGCTTTTCGTCGATTGCGCTTACCTTTCTGGCCGCGCTTGCGTAAACGCGCCTGCATTTTGGGATTGTTGCTTTGCAGGTAATTATGCACGACATCGAAGTCTTGGAAAGCCGGAAACTCGGTATCCGCCGGTAGCGGTGCTTTCACGAGGAACTTGACCTTGCGACTGCTGGAACGCAACCGATCACCAGTATCGATGCCGAGTTTCTGGCATATGCATTCGATCATTCGGCAGATTTTGGTCTCGAAATCCTGCGAGTTGTCGATCACGTCGAAGTATGGATGGCCGATCCAGGAGGCCGCGGCCTTGTAGTCGAGTTCGCGGGCGAGCTCGACACCCTCCGAGCGACACGCGTGCTCCTCCGTGGAATAGAACTCCTCTGCGCCGTTCGCCGCCGAAACCATGTGAATGATTTGATTGTACCTGTGGTTGACACGAGAGAAAACACATGTGAAAGTATGCATTATAATAAAAATATATACTGCTTAATATTACAATAATATTAATACAAGATAAAATATAATACGCGCGAGTATATACATAGATGGTTTAACCGGGAATATAGCACGATATCATTGAAAGCTATGCAAGCGTGAAACAGAAGGAAAGAGAGAGATGAATTTTCCAATTATCGATTTTCTCCAACACAAAGATGTATGGATTTTTCAAACTTTCCTTGCATATCTCTGATCTTACCTGTTGTCTCTTAGCTCGACGTTGTTCCATCCGTTGGAAGCCATCATGAGTTCCCATTTATCCTTCGAAATAACTGAAAAACATCGCTCGTTAATTTTTTTCTCAACTAAAAAAAAGTAAAAACTAATCAAATCATTTTCAAAAGTGTTTACTCACAAGCGGAGGCGTCCATCGCGCCGCGATCACAGATGATCAAGCAATTTCTCGAGCAGCTTTCACCTAATTGAAAAAACGTGTTCTCTATTTGTATCATCGTGCGCAGAAGATTTTCCTGAAATTTGAACCCTGCAACACACGCGTGAAAGAAAATACAATATTATACAATAGATATTCTCGTTTATTTCAAAGGGTCATTTATATAAGACGGACGATTTGTGTGCTTTGTGGACTTTGGCGGTGCTTTGAAGCGCTAGCCCTGTATATAATTGCGTCGTTTACAGGGAAAGGAAGATTTAAAGTTTGAGGAAAAAATCTACAAATGCCTAGCTCGATAAATTTCCCTAATATTATAATACATTTGGCATTGCAGCGAGTATACTAAACAACTTTCGTCTGTAAAATGCATCTTACAGATTTTTAAAAGACATGTTGTTAGAACATCATGTTATTCAAAGTTCTTTTCAAGCGATATCCTAGCGAGACGGGCGGACAATCCTCGTTCGTTCGAATGGCTTGAAGAAACGAGTATTCTGCGATTTTTCACCAATTTTTGGAACCTCTATTTAACATATGTCCTTGGTTTTATTCATGTTAACTTACCAATGATCTCAAAATAATCAGAACAAGATTTACATCCTAAATAGTACTATCCCATAGTTGACTGAAGAGATCAAATGCTATAAATCCTATTTATTTATGATAGAGAAATCGCGCGAGGATTCGTCTCTCGTCGGCGAGTTCTAGAGTGCCCTGCGTTTTCAAGGCCGAGACACAATGAAATGTAATAATAAAAAAATATAAAATATATACAATACAAAATATAATATTACTGATGCATGATGGGGCAATAATCACAAAAAGCGATCTATTAACAGACTAACTAATTGTAAGAGATAAGATCAAACTTTTATGTCTACTGTATGAAGATAATACATCAAAATATTAATGATTGGCTTGTGAAAAACTAATAAATTAAAAAGAAAGTAATAAAAAGTTAAAAATTTAATTTTACAAAAAATCGAAAAATCTTACCTAGTTATAAAATTTTAATCAATTATCAGAGATTTATCGATAAATATATTAATTCTATTTCAATTTCTAGATAAATAATATGTTAATATAAATTTTATTTTAGCAATCGGATTTTTTCGGATTTAATTTATTCTCATGTCTCATCGTGTCTCGGACCACACTCTAGCGCGGTTACTCGGACTCACCCACATCGGAATCGACTTCCAGAATCTCCGGCCATCTCGCCTCGCCTTCGCAGGCCTCACTCCTACGATCTAGACGCGAAGATTTCGCGTGCGAAGGAAACGAACTCTCCGCTAGAACCAATCGATCTTGACACACATCGTCATCCAGATCCGAAAAGATCCTCGAGTCGGGAAAATGTCAAATTATTTCGCTCCTACGTACGACGATCGAATCGCGTAAAAGATATTACACTTTCTCTTTAAGAAATATAGAAATTGATGAAACTTTATTAAACAAAAATTTAAATTTAAACTTCGTATCTCTGCAATGTGAAGAACTTGATGTTATTCGAGTTGTTTTCCGTTTTTTTTTTTTTTTTTGTATATCTTAAAACACACTTTAATCCCGAGGATCTAATAACGTCGACGATGAGAAATACGGCGAGTCGTATTGCCGCACCCGTATTCTACAAATATGTATCATCTTTCTTTTTTTGCCAGCAGGCAAATACGTCTCCGCAAAAAAAAAAAAGAATGACAAATCCAAGAGGCGATGCGGAGACGTAGATAAATCGACGGATTTAACTCTGTTAATCTATCAGCTTAACGATAATCGCAAATGTCAATTCTTTCAATTTGCTACAATCTGTGAAAAATCAGATCGTTTCAAAAATGTTGATCCTTTTCATCATTGAAATTCAGATTATGAAATGTAGCGCATAAATATCAGCATATAGAGTAATGTCTTACGAATTTAACTAATTATACACGTTTCCACAAACTTTCTGACAATAACAAGAGAAATCGTATATATTGTGCACGTTATACATATCAGATTACGAGACCGTTTACTTTGTAAGAGAGCTCTTATGAAAAAAAAAAAAACTGCAACTCTTGTAAAGATTATATAACGGAAAGACTGAGATATTCGAAACGCATTTCGTGTCCAATGACGAAAATGATGATAAACGTATTATGCATAAACGTAACCAAGGAAGCCTGATATTCGTATCCGTTCAAGGGCGAGCTGATTAAAGCACGATCGTCTTACGTAAGGACGAACAAAAGCGCGAATAGCAATATCACCCGTGTCCCGTGTAGCATATACATATTATTTTCGTTCTATAAAACCCCTTCAATCTCGATATACAATGAGAGAGAAATGAAACGAATTAAAGAATTTTCAGAAATATCAGCAAAATATATAAATACAATAATATATATGTGAGAATTAAAAAAATAAGAAATGTTTGGGGATGCCAATATAATTTAACCGAACAATATTTTGTGCAAGAGTTCAATTATTCGAAGAGAAAAGATGATGAAAATTGAAAGCAGAATTGGCACAATCGCATCTGCAGGGACTGAAAGATCATTGACAACTAATGAGAAAAAAAGAGAAGATTCTATTAATAATATATAATAATAATAAAGTTTGACGATCGGGAGCAAAGTCCCTCGCAGGCGATGTAATCAAGAATCACGGCAGGCCAAGCTGCCAGCGTAAGCCAAGAATTTTGACGTTATGCAATTGGGTGTTATTGTGCGAGAGAGCAGCTTGCATGCGATCCTTCGCGATATATTATAGTCGCTCTAGTTGCAATGAGACGTTTATATATGTATTTTACAAGAACGTTCCCCGACTGAGACCGATGTTTTCGGACTCCGATGCGATTCATACGCGATACGACTGGTTGGACGGGTTTTTTCTTTTTTTGTTGTTGTTACTGTTGTCACATCGTATCAAGATGCTGGGACTCTTTTTTTCCTCTCCGTCCGTCTTGGATTTTTCCACCCGCGTTCGTTCTCACGTCGCGATTGCAACGGTTGACGCAATCCATCTTGCTACCGGGGTAATATTTACACACGCTTATTCGAGGTCAGCGAGAAATAATGCTTCGTATTTCTCCGACACTTTCTCATGTTTACTCATGGAAAAATTCTAATCGATAGAGAAGCAGAAACTAAATTTATTGATCCGTTAATTTCTATCGGCTGATTATCGCATCAAATTAATTAAAGTAATTTAAATTTACTTTTAATTAATTGTATTAATTAACTTGCTTCGCGCAAGAAAAATAAAATAACAGTTAAAGACGCGGTATCATTAATTTACGCGTTTGTATTATCGGAAATTTAATTTTTAACTGTTTCAATATACTCGACGATTATTAATCCGCATTAAATAATTTCAAGAATGATAAGAAATTTGAACGCGCGAAAAAGATTGACGGTCTCGATAAATAAACTTAAGAAACGAACCTGCACTGTTAAGAGTCGAAAGCTTCGCTGAAGTGTAGGGAGGGATGATGGGAAATTGGGGGGATGCAAAAGGGGTATAATCTGCGGACTTACCCTCTTCCGCGTTCAGGTCTGAAAACTTGATGCCGCCGCTGAAATGGAAAAAAGCAGACAGCAAATATGAGACAATTGTATAGAACGCACGCTGTGATATGCGTTTATTTAATTGAGTTTAATCGAAATGACGTTAGAGAGGATTGTGATCTTAACTTGCAGCTGCAACTGCAACGGTGTTTAAGGAGCTTTCATTGCTGTTATATTATACGCGGATTTATCTTAAATCATCTCCAGTATCTCTCGCTATCGCTATATCGCCGCCTTCGATCGTTTTCGATATCAGTAAAATTGACTTTTTTTTTTTTTTTTTTTTTTTTTATATTCTCTCGAGACTATGATGCAATTTACTGTTTAATTTTCACGTAACTCGCTCAACGCGAGATGCAAATCAGATGCAAATTACTGCACGCTCGCTTAACAAAGGTGTTTATACTCTTGGAAGCGTGTGCGTTTCGCGAATTTTTCTTCGCGATACAATCGATACTCGGCAAACTGAACGAGAATGCGAGACGCGAACGGCTTCATTTCAATCTCAAAAGAGATTTCTTTTAACCCTGGAATGGGTGAAACTTAATATACGAGACCCTGCTGACATTTCGTATATATTTTCACATTTATAATATTCCCTTTCTCGAACATTTACAAATTAATTTAAGACCACCCTCATATATTTTTCTACCCTCATATATTTTTAATATTCGACCTCGATTTTTCCTCTCGATTTCTTGAGTTTTTGCAAATCTTTATTTCAAGGGTGCATTCCAGGGTTAATACGAAAGAAAACCGTAATCGCCCGTGCGTGACTCTCGTTCCGGCTTCTCTCTTTACTTTTTTTTTTTTTTTTTTGTAAATTTGTGATCGTGTAATTGCATACCTGAGCAGCACGGTCGCTGTCTCGGGGACACGGAACACCTGAAAAAGAAGACAACCACCGCTCTATCGAATCCACAACGAAGCGTAAGAGCCCCCCGAAACTAGATCGCGTTTTCACTTTCCTCTCTCCTCGAATTTTCTATTTGGCTAGCGAAATTGGTAATTCGCCAAGAAACTTTTATATGTACATATCATCTAATTGCAAAATTAAAACTTATATAATTATCTCGATTATATTTTTTTTTCTAAGGAGGAATCGACATTAAAAATCGGTCAAAAGAAAAAGTTTGAAACGACTATTGCTATTTTAAAATCACCCTATACGTCCGATTATATCGACTGTCGTCGTATGCGATTTAATACGACGAAGTAGAGAATCTCTAGCTATAGAAAAAAAGTAGTTTACGCCGCAATATATTATCCTTGACTCGAATTGTCATACAGCACGCGACAATCGAACGGTTTCTGTGTGTAGGTACATATAGTATATTCTATACAGGATTGTAAAATCATCCCCGTCTCTCGGTTATATACCATCAATAAAGGACGATCCTATATAGGTTCAGTTACTATTATACGGCGATATCGAATATTTCCAAACTAATCCGCGGAATCGAGCGAGTCTCTCGCTCGGAGAGAAAAGCAAATCAGTCAGGGGGGAAGAAGAGGAGGAGAACAAGATTCCCCTCTTTTTTATCTCCTTTCACGAAGGAAATCTTTTGCGAAGTTACTGTTCGAAGAATCTCTACCTACCTTCCAGCCCATGTTCTCGAAGAAGGTACACAGTCTGGTCTGCCCGGTCGTTTTGCCACCACATGGTCCTGCAATCGCAAACACAAATGCATTAGACAATTCATTCTATCTCTTCATTTCGCATTGCAAAAGAAGAATGAATTCGAAAAGTCGATATATCGAATATTTGCACGTGAAACTTCCATTTTACGATATCGCTCTTTGATATTATTCCGTCCCTTTTTTGTTTTCTCATTACGTAAGATAAATGACGAGCATACGAAAAGGCAGACGGCCAATAAAAGGCAAATTGAATGTAATTGGTGTGCGCCGACACGGCTATTAACCCGACGCGACGTGACGCATCATGTTCACGAGGAGGCGATGACGAATTAGACAGACTCACCATGACAGAGTCTCAAAATAAATCACGACTGCCATCCGGCCGAAAAATTCCGACCTTACTTAAAAATCTCTTCCGACCCTGTATATTGTCAAAAAGTAACCAATCATATATCAAATACTATAAAAAATTCAAAAATTGCAGACAATTTCTTCCACTTTCTCTACGTTCTTTCCACCAAAAATGCAGCAAAATGATCTCTCGATAATAACAGCTGAATTATTTTCGAAAAATATGAAAAATGTAAAAATATAAAAAAAAACTGCTCTTGTAAGATTTATCTTCGTTTTCTCTTTTCGCTCGAGCAACAGCTTCGTTCATTGTTTCGTTCGTAATGTAAATCTCGTCTCAGTCGCGCGTATCGGTGTACTTAAATAAATAAAGTTTAATCGAGAGAGGACAGTACAGACTTTTCTCCATTCTTCGAACATTACGGTCGTATCATCTTCGCGATTGCGACTGAAAATTAAATTTGCGACGAAATGAAAAGAGATACATTAACGAGTCTACACTTCGAAATTTCGTGGATTTGTATCGTTATATTAGTTAATTGTCTCAATCCTTTTTTTTATCTTTCCCTCGTTACATCACGTGGGTCGATGATAAATTCGTCTTGCCCGCCAAAAGATAAGGCGTCATCTACGATAAAACGAGGCTATTCCACGAAGGCTATCGATATCGTTTTTCCTTGCCATTTTCGATCATTAACGGTTTTCGACAAAACAGATATAAAGGAACTTATCGAGGCTTATCGCGAGACAAGAAAAATAGGACCGTGTGATTCAGGGAATGCAAAACATCTGCAAAGTTCAGTACTTCCTTCATATTTAGCGCCAACAATTAAGTTAATAAATGATAGAGCGCCGATAAGTCTCTTACCTGTCAAATTTTCGGAATTCAAAGAATTACACGTGCAACGATGCAATATAAAACGTAAATAAAATATGAACAATCTGATAAGTAAATATAAATGATGAATAATGAGAGAATAACATTTTTTATAAATTTTTTTTTTTTCCGTATAATACAGTGGGTAAAAATTTATAACTAAAGTCTATCTATGCAGGGCATTCCCTTCTCTCGAATCATCCGGTATATAGTCGCGGCCGCGTGTTCTGCGTAGCGTATGGAATCGATCGACATCTGCGTGGCTGTGATAACATAAAACGCGAGGGACAAGTTCGCAGTTGACTGCAAAAAACGGAATGTTCGCGATTCTTTTGCACGATGCTGTCTCATAATAATATAATTTGACCAAAGCATGCCTCTCCTCTTTCTCTCTCGCATTTAAGTTGAGACACAAACGATCGTGTCTCGAAAAGGAATCCGAGCGTGCCACGTGCTCCCCATCCACGCCGGTCAATAATTTTCATGCTTATATATCTCTAAAAAATATTGTTTGATATATTTTTTCTGTAAGATTGAAATATATATAAATCAGTGCATATAAAGAGCTTTTTTCGCCTATCTATAGTTTAACTGAATATTTGATTCAAGAGAAGACGTAACATGATATATATATAACGCGTCTATATAATAAAAATTATTATAGATAAACACCAGATAAATTTCTGTATAAATAAATGGAGAGAGAGAGAGAGAGAGAGAGAGACAGAGACAGAGAAAGAGAGAGAGGGGAGGGAGAGATGAAATTCAAAACTGATTCATGACTACACAAAAAATGAGGAATAAAAAATATTGAAAATATAAATCAAAAATAAATTGTACAAAGATAAATATGCAACAGACCCGCAACAGACAGATCGCTGATTTATTTTTGAAACTTATATATTTTATTCGAAAAAGAATATAAAATTATTTAAATTTAAAAAAAATTGAATGAGAGAGAGCAAGCTTAATTTTCAAATCTAAACACACACAAAAATATATAGAAAATTCGAAATAAGCCTTCTAAATATACATGAAATACGTGCGTTTAAAAAAAAATCGATGTCAGAGGAGGGGAAGCTCTTCTATATCGTATATTTACCCTCGTACGTGCACTCGCTTTCGCAAACATAAACCCCTAAAATGGACCTGACGAATTGCGCACTTAATCTAACTTCAAATCGAAAAAAACACGTGAAACGATATATTGTATTCTCTGTTACGTACCTCCGGTCAGCACAATCTTGTATACGCGTTTCTGATCCATCGTCGCCACGACGGTCCTACTTCCGTTTTGACCGATTCCTTTCCTCCTCCTCTTCCTCTTGACGATGACGACTATGTTCGCGCTTCCTCGACGAGACCCTCGTTCTTCCGGCGAGACGTGGATGCGCGGGCGAATATGCGATACCCTAAGGCGGCGATGGTCGGTACTACATAAATACCTGGTGCATCCCGAGTCGGCGCGTGTTCGGCCGCGTGCTTGAACGATGCATGGAAACGGCGATGATGATGATGACGACGACGACGACGACGACGACGACGACGACGACGACGACGACGACGACGACGAAGACGGTGAAGAGTGTCTTACAGGCGAGTTACTCGGCGAGTAACTAACGCTCGGTCAGAATCCGTTCCTTCTTTTAAAGGTCCGTCGAAGGGATACGTAGTAACAATCAGTCTACTCGTGCGACTTTTGACATAACAAACGCACGCGTCCGCCTCGCTCCGTTGCTCGCAGGCCTCTGAAGTGAGTTGCGCAGCTGGTCGCGACGAGCCGCGCGAAGTCACGCGCGTTTCACCGTCCGGAACCGGAAGTGACGACTTTGTGTGACACAACGACACTGACGTTCGCGCCAAATTCAAACCCGCCTTCCTGTATTGCTATTTATACATATATATTTTTAGGTCCAAAATTAGGCTTACAATTGATAAGAGTATTCGTGTCTCTTAAAAACACTGATTAACGTTATTTTTGTCTCTAAAAAATAAAATTTTCTATCGAATATTCGTATCTTGAACGTAGGACGATGCACATATAATCGGGAATCCTCATAAGTGTATGATGCGTACGTCAATTACATTTGATTGAAAGATAGATATAACCAGATTATATAATAAATCAATCGGCAAAAAAATTGTTTTGGCTTCTTCAACCAACAGTCATAATATAAAAATATTTTAGAAATCGTGTATGAAAATTGGTTGCATAATCATATATTAAATAGAAATAAAAATTTTCTATCTTTTTTACATCTAGTTATATATATAATATATAATATTCATTGCAAATATTTTTATCGAGTCTTTATTATTTATTAGAGAGAGATTATGTAATATATATTTGAATGTCTTTTGGAGAGAAAAAATTGAAGTTTTCTTTGTCTCCACATTTTCCTACGATATATCGGCGCTTTCCTGTATACATGACAAGGAACGATAAATTTGTCGAAATATTGTGCGCCATTTTCAAGATCCGTATTTACACATATACATAATACAAAACAGATTTCTTCTTATTTCAGATGACAGGAAACTTACTCAGCAAAATATCTCAATAGAAGAAATGCGCGCATCTTTTTATCGCTCTCGTTCGAGCAACCGCAATAAAAATGACGTCTTGGTACAGATAGCACGCTTCACTAAGTTTCGTCTTTTTTTATCCTCTACTCTTGAACAAGATAAAAGTGTGAAATAGATCTAAATGATACGTAAAACATCTTTGTTATACTTTTTTTTGATTTACTAAAATCATGCAGTAAATAATGGCAACATGTAACAATATACATATGTTAAAATATTATGTTTATATTAATGCGTTATAATTCTTAAATAATATCAGGTAATATTTAATGTGTGCGTGTGTGACTTAATAGTCTCAAATAATATTTACTGTCCTCTTTATATCGCTGCAAATATAAATTTGTTTAAATTGTTATAGTTCTTCTCTAGACATGCAAAAAAAATATCAACAAATGAATTATCTTGAATTTTTTTTCGACATTTTTACTTTTTATTGATATTCAAGAATTATTGTTGATTAGAAAACTCGGGAGAGGAGTACATTCCGGATTCGGAAGATCTCGTCTTTTTTTGTAATTTTGACGAATGACAATCACATGATCGAGGTTCGTTGATAAAAATCGAGAACGGATACTGATCCACTGGATTTCTTTTTAAAGAAAGAAAGACTTTGACTAAACGAAAATGTCAATAATTTAAAAACCATGAACAAGTAAATTGTTTATTTTCTTTTTTCCTCATAATTAGTTTGCTTATTGTCATTTATACGTTTTTTTTATATCTCATGATGATTTTTTAATTACGATGTTGAGAAACATTTTTTTTGTGATACGGATTCATAAAATAAAATCGCCTAAATCAGAAGATTCGATTTTTCTGTATTCCTCTTTCTTATATATATTTTTATATTTACAATTTCTCTATTAGTTAATAATGTACAACTAATGTACAACTAATGTTAATAAGTCTTAAGTAAATAGCACCGAGAATTTATTGCAATGCATGTTACACTGCTCAAAATAATTAAAGACTTATTTAGTCCACATATATTCATGTCAACTCTTCGAGCAATAAAGATTTAAATTCATATGTGAAACAACATTTCGAGAGACGACAATCAAAGCAATAACATTTATTTAGAGGGAAAAAAGGGAACAATAAAAAAAGACAAGAGTGGATAAATATCCATTAAAATAAAAAAGACTCGAGTTGAAAGCGCCTTAAAGATATCCATAAAAAAATGAAAAGATTCTTTTGAAGATATTTCGAATAAATTAGTATCAATGATAGAAAATTAAAATATATACATATTTATATATGTAAATATATGCTAATTAAAAACAAAATATTGTTTATGTGAGAGAGAAGCTTTCAAAATATTATATACTCTAAAATATGCAGACATTTTAAAAAGTAATTTCCTAATTCTTTCAAGCAGTGTATCATGAAGAGTAAATTGTAATGTAAAATATGTGCATGAGAAATTGTTATCGTATTTAAGACCCCTAAAGAAGTTTTTGATTCGTCCAACGAACAATTTAGCGAGCATCGCCCTTTATTAATAGGCACTGCGGAGACAAATATGAAATGTGAATTCGATAACGCTTTTCCAGATCAGTGCGTAAGATAATAATGCGCGGTTAATAATATTTTTCGATATTATTCGCGTTTGTTATATTTGGATATCGAGAAATATCTCGTCGCCAAGCCCACGAGTTTGATGATATTATAAAGATTCTTAAAGAAATAAAAATAAGTAT